AATTATGTAAGGAGAAAAAGTACCTTAAATTAATACTTAACTATAAATATAAGTTTAAATTATGATTCTTTAATAATTAGCATGTGTACCCATAAAAAAAATATCAGCAAAAACAAAACTTATTCAAGTGTTGTGAAATCATTATAAATGGAAAGAGTACGTACATCATGCTTTGAGTTATAGATTGACCGTTCTTCTGGCTCTCCATTGTACATCTTATGATATTTTTACAATAAAATATTTTTAAAAAAACAGTGTTTGTATATAAACGGAAAGAGTCGTGATCAATTCTTGCCAAGCTCATTTTTTAATTCTATTGCTTATAAAATTTGATAACCTAAAAAATTGAGGCAAGGGTTTGTTCACCGTTTTGAAAACGTGTTTGATGATTTGGAGGCAAGCCTCAAACTAAGTAAGTTTAAGGTTTAATTAATTTATTAAGGAACTTGCACTTTCTCAATTTTTTTTTAATAATAATTAGGAAGAGTTGCTAACATTTCACTCTCATTGCTACTTAATTTTCTATTTTGCAAAGAGTTTTGTTCTTTTTAGTTTTTTATTGTGTAAAGATGATATAAAGTTTCGAGGACGAGTATTTATATAGCTTAATGAAAAAGAACATATTAATCAATTTGACATTATTCTTTCTTTTCTTTTTTCCTTATTGTTTAGTTTTAAAAAAAACCCCGACGTGGCAGTTTGGCAACCCCTTGAGCCAAGCGTCAAGCCTCCTACGTATCTGAGTGAGATGATTTCACCATAACCATTTGGGTAGTTGACACGTACTATTTTATGAAGTTCTCCAATTGTTAAGCTTTCCAAAATATTTTGGACACGGCTATAGCGAAACAGATATGCGACACACGGATACAGCGAAACAGATATGCGACACGAGGATACGGGGATACAGTAAATCTCAAAAAACTAAGACATGAGAGACACGACAATTAATTTCTTATTATTAAAATAATACTTATATATTTATACAAAAACAAAATATTGATGTTCAAAGTCCAATTTCACAATACCATATATAGTGAAATTCAAGCTTTTCAAGTCTTTCAAATGTAGTTTATTAATTTTATATGAATTATAATTGAATTAATACATTAGTTGACTATGAGTATGAGTTGATCCATGTCCATAGAGTGTCTTGATCATATATGGGGAGTGTCTTGACCGTGAACACAACGATGACTATTGAACACGGATATCCGAGGAGTGTCCGAATGTCCGACACTTGAGCTTAATAAAGTGTTCGTGGAACAAGTTCCCAACCACAAAATAAAAAAAATTCATTTATTAAGGAACTTCCACTTTCACAATATATATATATATATATTTAATAATAATTAGAAAGAGCTGCTACCATTTTTTAATCCATTTGACTTTATTCTTTTTTTTTATTGTCTTCCTTATTGTTTGGTAAAAAAAAAAAACCCCCCGAACGTGGCAGTTTGGCAACCCTTTGGGTAGTTGACACGTACTATTTTATGAAGTTTTCCAATTGGTAGGCTCCCAACCACAAAATAAAAAAATTCATTAGTTATCAAGTTTATAAAATTGCGTCTTTTCGATAAAAAAAAATAAATTATAGAAGGAGAACAGATACTTTAAATCAATAATTTACTAGAAATAGAGTTGAAATTAACATGCGAAAGCCATCGTTGACAATAAAAAAAAGAAGAAGATACAAATAACAAAGAAATAAACAAGAATGGCAGCAACAATAATGGCATGGCAACAAGTTCAACATTGTAGCTATGAATCACAAGTTGGTCCAACATAACCACATATTCATGTTCTAATCACACAACAGACAACCTTGTCAATTATGCAAGACCAACAACCAAGATGTATATATAAAATCCATATAAATTGTGAAATCTTTTCTAAAGGAGACCATTTTTTGTAAGTACTTTAGCTTGACTCCATATGATATGCTATCTCTAGACTAAGTGATAACTACAAACTAGGGTCTTAATCAATTGATTGTCTCATGTAAATTGTAATTAAGATGCCTTTATATTTTATACAAATTGAGGTATAGCCTTAATCTTGTTTCATTGGCCAATGGGTTTCCACACCCCACCCCCCGGCCATCCAGAGTTGAACCCCGGTGAGGTTTCTTTCCTCCGACGTAACAAAAAATAATCTTGTTTTCCTTCCGCAAAGATAATACTAGCAAGTGACTTTCTAGTGAGGTCTAAAAGAAAAGTACTAGCTAGGCTACAATTATATACTACATTGTGGTCTCCGAAATATTACATGGTCTAAAAATTTGTATACGATTCTAGAATTTAAACTTGTCACGAAAAGAAAAGCAGTGAAGTACACCTTTTGCAGGCCTGAAAAAAATAAAAACGAGTATTTAATTTATATTATCATGTGCTTGCAGCTGACCTAGTTTCCATAAATGCAGTTTTCGGACTTTTGGTGAGGTTGCACTAAAAAGTCAGCTTGGTGGTAAAATTATTGTTCAAATTATCCAAAAAAGCTGCTATAAACAAATTATATTCTTACCTACCTTGCTATCCGTTGTAATAATACATTGAATAAATACATGCAAGAAAATTCAGTACATCTCGCTTCTTTTCCCACCAAGCAGCAACTCTTCTGGATATTGAAAAATAATAAAACTTTAAGATTTTGGTGACGCACTCAGGACAATCATACCGTACATATCTTGAAAAAGAAATTTTTTGAATAATATCAAAGGCACCTTAGATAAAAAAAACAAAATCAAATAAGGACTCGTTTATGGGTGATTCTGAATAGGCCAAAAAACACTTATATAGAGAATCACTTCTCCATATAATCATTTTAAGTGATTTTAAGTGATTTTATGGAAAAGCACTTGGGAGCTGTTTCTTTCCAAAATCACTTAAAATCACTTAAAGTAATTATATGGAGAAGCACGTGGGAGATACTTCTTCCCAAAAGTGATTCTAGCCTATCCAGAATCACTCCTAATCGAGTCCTAACTCATTAAGCAAAAGCATTATTGAGTTGTTTGTTACATCGTGAATAAACTCCTTCAAATGTTAGCAAAGTAATTAAAGTTTTGTAATTACATAATTAAGTATACAATTAATCAAAGATTATTTTAATCTGTCAATCATTCGGATTGATGGCCTCAAATACGTAAACAACATAGGAGGGCAAGTGTCAATTAAACTCCAAGCCATTTCCAGCTTCATGGAACTTAGACCCATATTGTGACTATGACAAATATAACCCTTCTATCATTATCAGTTAAACCCAGCTGACATTTGGCTTAATCCGTCATGCTTATGAACCGTGACCTAATCCCCCAAGGACGCGTGTCGGCCTAAAAGACGGCCATTTGGCAGACCTAATTTTATCTGATGACGTGGAATATATACGACAAATATTTTAGATTTATTTAGGTATAACTTTTTGGTCTTGCTTGGGTGTGCTAATTAAACGGTTACGTGGCTGCCAGTCTCTTTCAGGCTTCACCAATATTTCGGTTACAGGTGGCGGCCCATTTTCATGGCGCCATTGACTAATTGGCACGTTAAAAAGATGAACCATGAAGCGGTTTTGGCGCGCCACGGTGTTATAAAATGTAGAGCGAGGCCAGGGCCTAGCAGGGTTTTGTGCAGCTTATATGGAACCAAGCGTGTATACGGTCACCAACCTTTACGACTTGGAAACAAACAAACAATTTGTGCACTATTGAACATGTGACACATTAGTTTTTCATTTTTATTCGATAATTTTCTCGTTCGCGAAACTTAAACTCATAACCTCTTCCGATAAAAATGAAATCGAGTTCTACTAAATTAAATGGTTACCATGAGACGAGTAATTTGGGAACAAAGCTTATAAGAGTTAACGGTACTTAGAACATAATTTGATCTCAACTGTTACAATAACAAGTTTTTGCATTGCTGGTTAGTTATCCGCAAGGACGGTTAACCATATTATAGAAAATATGAAATGATCAAATAAAACAGCTAGCAGGGGCCTTTTAATTTGGATGATGTGATTGTCAACCAATAAATAGTAAATAGTGTGTAAGTAAGTATGGAAGGGAGATAATGGCAGTAGGGTCCGTTCTTAATGGCCACCTCTAAAGCAAATTACTGGAATTCTTGATGATCATTCAATTTCTACTTTTCTTCGGGTAAGGATTTCTCTGTTGTTTTCACTACATATTTCTTGTTTGCCACTATATGCATATAAATATTATAATATAGTAATTAAAATTGAAAACAAAACCTTTCGTGTTACTTCTTCTAGAATTAGAGAAATTATACAATCTCATTTCCCACTTGAATTCATTCACGTGTTAGTCTTGAGAATTTTATCGAATGGAAAAGATACTAATGCTTGTTAAAAATAGTAAGGTCTAAATTAAACTAGTTTGGTAATGGTAGTGCGATATTAAAAACGATGAACTTAAACTGCAATTCCAAGTGCCGTCCAAATTGCCAAACTTTTACCCTTTCGTCTTCAAACCGCCATTACTGTTAGGCGAATTTAATCCATGAAAACCGATTTGCATTGCATGCGTGCATGTGAAGAGAACTGAGGAGAGACCCAACATTGATGAACACAGCAAAAAACGATGTCGTGTCAACTCAAAGAAAACGAAACGTAAATTCTTGACCAACTGAAAGGTCAAATCTTCAACGCAGCTGAGAAGTCAGAACAACCGAGTCTGAAAATACGCTTCCATCATATATCCGCATGTAACAATAATCCACACGTACACGTATCCTCCAATAAAAACCCGTTTCGTCTTTTTCTCCAAAAATATGTGTGGATATTAAATTAATCTCTAGAAGGAAAACAAATTCAACACCCAAAAACCTTCGCCTCACAACAAAAATAAGTTTTTTCGTTATAATTACCGGCACACCCGGTTTCCCGGTTCAAAACAACCACGTCTCATCCCAACACGTGGCACCAACCCACACCCACCACTCTTTCATCCCCTCCTATTTATTTATACTCCCTCACTCCTCTCAAACTTTCCAAATCTCTAAAACAAATATTTCCTAAATTTTCTCTCACTTTCCGTCAAAATCCTCTCAATTTTCTCTTCATCAATATTTTTTTTCTTTTCACATTTTCCTTGCCCTTCTCCTCTCATCAATCGTAAATGAGAAACGAAAGAGGAGGAGGTACAATGGTAGCAGAACGAAATGCTCTCCACCACAGACCGAGATTCGGAGCCTTCTTGCATTCCTCCGACCCCTCCCTGCCGTCTCCCGCAAACGCCGCGAACCACCAAGGTTCCAATGGCGACATCAACAACAACAACGATTACTCAACACGTCGTAGCAGTGCCTCGGCAACCAGCCCTGTGTACGACGCCAGTACACATGGCAGCAGCGCCGAGGCATCTCCCTATGCCATGTCCCCGTGGAACCGGGAATCCGCGTCGCCGTACAACAAGTCCCCGTGGATAACCCCGTCGCCCTTAAATCCGCTCGAGGGGAACTTCCCTGTGAACGGACTCATCGGGTCCTTAGTTCGGGAAGAAGGCCACATATACTCCCTGGCTGTCAATGGAGACTTGCTCTACACCGGGTCCGATAGCAAGAACATCCGGGTCTGGAAGAACCTGAAGGAATTCACAGGTTTCAAATCCAAGAGCGGGTTGATCAAAGCGATTGTGATATCGGGTGAGAAGATATTTACGGGTCATCAGGATGGCAAGATCCGAGTCTGGAAAGTGTCCACTAAAAACCCGAGTAATCACAGACGGGTTGGCAGCTTGCCGACTTTGAAAGATTTTATTCGGAGCTCGATGAACCCGAAGAACTACGTGGAGGTCCGGCGGCATAGAAATGTCGTCCGGATCAGACATTTCGACGCGGTATCGTGCATGAGCATGAACGAAGATCAAGGCCTTCTTTATACTGGTTCGTGGGACAAGACTTTCAAGGTCTGGAGAATTGCCGATTCCAAGTGCTTGGAATCAGTGGCGGCTCACGACGACGCTGTCAATAGCATCGTTGTGGGTTTCGAGTCATTGGTGTTCACCGGGTCAGCGGACGGGACCGTAAAGGTTTGGAGGAGGGAGTTGCAAGGGAAAGGAACGACGCACGTGTTGGTTCAGACGTTGCTGAAGCAGGAGAACGCCGTGACCGCATTGGCCGTGAACCCGGAAGCGGCGGTCGTCTACTGTGGGTCGTCGGATGGGTTGGTGAATTATTGGCAGTGGGAGAAGCACTTGTCCCACGGTGGGGTTCTGCGCGGCCATAAACTGGCCGTGCTGTGCTTATCCACGGCCGGGAACTTGGTGTTCACTGGATCGGCGGACAAGAACATCTGCGTGTGGAGAAGGGAGGAAGGCGGGGCACACTCGTGTCTGTCTGTCTTGACGGGCCACACTGGACCTGTCAAGTGCTTGACAGTGGTGGAAGATTACGGGACGGAGCATAAGGCGGATCAGCGGTGGGTGGTGTATAGCGGGAGCTTGGATCGGTCGGTGAAGGTTTGGCGCGTGTCGGAGGACGCGCCGAACTTGAGTCAGATTATAGCGTTGCAGAAGGATGCTTATTCCAGCACCAGCAACAACAACAAGACCACCCTCGTCACTGTTAACAAATTGGGAAAGGCTTGAAAACAAAAAGGTCGTAGAGAGTTTACTTAAAGCCGACGCTCCTTGAATGAGATTGTGTAGTACACTCGCCGTCTGTTCTCTGGGGGCCCCTACAGTAAGGTGCCAAAAATGTTCAGACGAAGCTGCGGGGCACCGCCCAAGCCAGACCAGGTGATGAGTGGTCCGTGGAGGACCACCTAGTTTTGCTTTCAAGAGAAGCCTTGGCATGAAGGGCTTGTAAATAACTTGCAGATTACTATGAATATGACAATATGAGATGCATGCCAAAAAAGAAGTACAAGACAAGGTCCCTAAAAGCCTATATGTATAGAGTCCTGCATGACCTAATTCAATATTATGAAGCAAATGCAAATGGACCGACCATATTTTGCCAGAAGAACATTAGTTTTCCTTCTTAATTATTTATAATTTGGTCACATATGTCACATAGCCTATGTGTTATTTCTTTGGTTTTGGGTATATGTTATTGGGATGTAAATATTTTGGTTTCTTGTTGTGTGAGGATTTATCAAAGTTATGGACAATTAAATAAAAGCAAATTGAGCCCATGATTATTTGTTCTCTTATTGTATTTTTTCTACAACATTTCCTATTGAAATTAGTGATAATACACGAATGTTAGGACTTTAATCTTTAACCTTTTCTGAGAGGGAAATTGCTCGAAACCACTGTACTAATGTGTCCTTTGCTCGCTTATTGTAATTTTGTTCTTTTTCTTTTCTTGGTACCTAGAATAAATGAAACACAGCCAATGCAAGCAAGCTGTACTAAGAGAGAGAATATATAGATACACAAGCAATGCAGAAAAGGGAAAGTTTGAAATATATGGTCAATTTCTTTGTATTGTATGGTCCAATATTTGAAACTGGTGAATAGTATCCAGAACCATTTCACACTAGTCCTGAAGTTTCTTGAAGAGAAAGCAAAGCCCATTTCTACATTTATATTTGTAATTAGAATCTCTTGACTTGAAAGTCTTGAACATGCATATGCGACCGAAAGTTAACCCAGAAACCGCCTATAGTCCCCACCCGGTTGTTGCTATAAAGTCTAAAATATCATTCTCAAAAGTTGGAAAACACCTCAACACAGGAAAAATGGTTATATACATAAATACTGCGAACCCAACCCCAGTGAACCCAAAATCTGTATGAACTCGAACTCGAATTCGAATTTGAACCCGAATTCGAATTCCCTAGAGATCCCTAAAGACCTAAATTCAAAACGAAGTTTACAAGCAACAGATGACGGAAGATTAGAAAACCATATATGAGGAAAAGGATTAGCATGTACCTACAATGGTTTGCAATCTGGCTACAATTTAGTTTCGCATTAATGAGAATAAGAGATGTTCACTTCTAATTAGGAGGGCCTTCAAAAAAAAAAAAAAAAAACACTGCCTTAGGAGGAGGCTGAATGAATGGGCTTCAAGGCTTAGAACAACCATGGATTAGGAGAGAAAGACTGGTGTTGGGCTTACAAGTTGATGGGTTGTACTTCAATAAAAAAATAAAAAAAGGTGATGGGTTGGACTTTTCTTCACAAAAGTACCAATAACAGTCCAACTTTGTCTTGAAGAGACCCAGTGGTTGGAACATCGGGGACGTTGTTTTCTCTAAACAAAGAAACGGTTCTAATGCAAAATTAGAAAGTTTTAATTTTTTTTTTTATCGTTGGTTGTTTTTTTTGTTTGTTTCGATTCCCTCTTTCTTTCTTTTTTGGCTTATTATCACAAAACATCCCTGACGTTTGTGAAATTATCACATTGCATCCCTAACGTTTTTTTGTATCATTAATGGTCCCTAACGTTAATACAGGTACTCTTAAATAGTCCTTCTGTCAAAAAAACCGTTAAATCTAGGGGTATAATCGTCAAATCAATCCAAAATTATAATTTTTTTTTTCTTCCCTTCTCTCTCTCTCTGTTTCTCTTTTTTTTTTTTTTCTCCTCTCTTTCCTCCTCTTTTCTTCTTCTTTTCCTTCGCTGTTTCTTCTTTCTCTCCCTTTTTTTTTTCTTCTTTCCTTCTTTGTTCCTCATTTTTCTTCTTTCCTTCTTTCTCTTTTTTTCTTTTTTCTTTTTTCTCTTTTTTCTTCCTCTTTCCTTCTCTCGGGGTGGTGATTTGGGTGGCTAGAGTGCTGGGTTGGTGGGCTGTGGAATGGGGCAGGGAGAGAGTTGCAGAGAAAGTACATAGAGGGGCAGGGGTATAAGATCCCACGGTGGTGGTTATGGAGGTCGAGGTGGAATTAAAGGGTAAAATTGGAAAATTTATGCGTCCAAAGAAAACTCTTTGTTTTAAAAATAGAATTTTACATAATAATTCTTCATATGACTAAATCAACCACTAGTTAAATTAAATAATATTCATTTATATTTTATAGAGTTAGAAGAATTGATCAAACGAAAATGCAGCGAAAAAAATAATAATATATGTTATTATTATTACAATATAATATATGTATCTTATATATTGATAAGTATGAGACTAATTAATCCTCCATTTTCACATGGGTTTAGTAGTCCTCTCCTAAGGAGGTGTATTTGGTGAGCCCGGTATTAGCAATCTCATCTAAAACTAGGATTAGATAAAACAAACATGGTACTAAATTTAGTCCAAGCCAGACCAAGCCAAGCCAAATCTGTATAATAAACGACCCCTAAATACACAAAATTACCAATAACAATTTGAAATCACCTGTAGGATGATTAAAAAATGTCTAGAGGGGGGTGAATAAGCCAATTTAAAATTATAGTCAATAAACAAAAAATAAACTTTGGTAGTAGGATTGATATGACTTATCAATCCTGAAATGTGCTGAACCTAAAATAAAGGAACACGCAGAGAATTATTTTACGTGGTAAAACCCCACCTATGGGGACAATCCATAGCACTCCTCAGTCCAACACAAACATACTATAGAATGATGATTACAAAAAGTACTCACACACTTATCCTAGACACATTATAGATAATGTTTACCGACTTCTTCGTAACTCAACTTCTGTCACGGGATGATCTTCGACACTCCTTATGTTGAACGCAATACTGGTCACGGTTGATTCAAGCTCACAGGAGGAAAACCGCCATCACGGTCTTGGTGCCCTCAACCATATGAGTCACCGAACAATGCAAATGAATGCAATATGAATTATTAAAGTGCTTGATAAATCATCAAGTAAACATGGAACACTTGATGATTTATCTCAAATATATGCACATTAGCTTTTCTTGGAATTCTATATGCTCAAAACAAATATATCAAAGCTATAAATAAGCAAAGTAGCACGTCATGTTTTTATACAGACCTATTCTCCTTGTTGCAAGAGGAGTGCCTAAAGCCAAAAGATCATTGGCTAATCAAATTTGATTCTCTATTCAATTCGTCGGCTCATGCAATCTTTAGGATAACTTCTAATCAACACAATTGTTATTCAAGGAAACAATATTAATAAAAAAACCAATTAGGTATTAATAAAAAGTGCTCTCCAAGTCAAAGATGATGAAAACATAATATTTCAACTTAAATTAAAATAGGGTCCAACTATGAAAGAATCTCAATAGATAAAATCAAATCCTATTAAAAATAGGACTAATATAAAAGCATTTGAGTGAAAATAACTTCAGCTAGGACTATAAGGAATGCATGATTATGTCATGATTTACCTGAAATCAGTTTCCTCATATCGATCAAATCTTTCTTCGATAAATAAGAAAAATCATACCTACACACGAAGTTCTTTTTGTTTCGATTCCCTCTTTTCAAACACCACTTGTATTTTTTATTTTTATAGTACAAGCGATTAGGGAGGGGTTCACACCGCTTGTATAAAACAATTAAATGATTGAAGGATAAAATTGGAAAATTTATGCGTCCAAAGAAAACTCTTTGTTTTAAAAATAGAATTTACCTTCTTCATAGGACTGATTATTCCATAATAATTCTTCATATGACTAAGGCCCCGTTTGGGAGTGCTTTTTTTGGCCAAAAACCTGCTTCATTTTAAAGTTAAGCAGTTTAAGGTGTTTGGTAAAAATAAAATATCTCGATTATTTTAAAAGCAGTGGCCTTTTGACAGCAGCTTTTAAAAGCAAACTCTGAGTTGCTTTTCAAAGCTGCTTTCAAAAGAAGCAGAGATAAACCTTTAATGAATTTTTTCTATTCCCAAAATACCATCATTCATTTTAAAAAATGGCACCACCTCCACTTCCACATCAAACTCTACCACTTGCACCACCACATTCACTTCCTCCACCACCACCTCCTCCAACCACAACCTCCACTCCATCACTACCACTACCACCACATGATTAGTACATAACACTTTTAACATCATGTTTATTTTAGTAATTATTAATAGTTACAACAATTTTATATTAAAATTTACCAAACAGTTTTGACATTACTTTTTGTACTAACAGCACTTTAAAAATATTGTTTACCAAACATGGAGCTGCTTTACTTTACAGCTAATTATTTTCAAAACACAACAGAAGCAACTTTTTTTAAAAGTGACAGCAATCCCAAATTAGGCCTAAATCAACCACGAGTTATATTGAATAATATTCATTTATATTTTATAGAGGGCTAAATTATTGAAATGCCCCATGTAACTCAATTTCAGTCTCAGTTTCCCCCCTGAAACTCTAAGTGTCTCATTTTCCCTCATGAAACCCCATATATTGTCTCACTTTGCCTCTATTCCATCCAGCCCTAACAGAAGTCGAAAATTGGGGAAACAGTGATGGGGACGTTGTTGAGTGAGCTTCTTGGGTCGTAGGCCAAAGTGGTGACGGAGAGAGAGCGGTCAGAGGGTAAAGTTGAGATCTTGATGCCGAAAGGCAAGGACTTGAGGGATTGGAGAGAGAAATAAAGGGGGATGATGTGGAATTGCAGGAGGTTTAGCGGTAGCTGACCGAAGTGAGAGAAGGCGGCGTCGGTGGGGGTAAAGATGGTGAGAGAAGGAGATTGGGAGAGGAGGAGGGTTTGAGAGGCGAGGTTGAGGGTCAGAGCCATGGAGGTGTAGCCGAAATCTGAGAGGATTTCGGCGGCGTTGATGAGGGTTTGGGTGGGGAGGGCGGAGGAGAGAGAGAGAACTGAGAGGACGATGAGAGAGAGAAGGAGTTGGGTTGCCACCATTGTTGGAGGTTGTTCTTCGTTTCTTGGAGTTTGGAGAGGGGTTTGGTTTTGCAAATGAGTCTAGGTGTAGTTGCAGATTCAGAGAGTATATGAATTTGTAAGGGAATGTTATTTTTGGCGGGTTAAGATTTGACGACTTCTGTTAGGGCTGGATGGAATATAGGCAAAGTGAGACAACATATGGAGTTTTACGGGGAAACCTGAGACTGAAATTGAGTTACAGGGCATTTCAATAATTTAGCCTTTATAGAGTTAGACGAATTGATCAAACGAAAATGCTGAGACAAAAAAATGTTAAATTAAACTCGTTGAGAAAATCCGACGTGATGATTAGTTGACCCAGAAAATTGCAGCCAGCCCGGAGCTCATTGCGGCAAGAGTCAAAGAGACTACTAAAAGTCGACATGTGACT